CCACTTGTCTCCCACACTTGTCTCTCACACTTGTCTCCCACACTTGTCTCCCACTCTGGGTGCCTTGGGCCGCATGAGTTTACACTTGTATTCCACTTGTCTCCCACACTTGTCTCTCACTCTGGGTGTCTTGGGCCGCATGATTTTACACTTGTCTCCCACTTGTTCCCCAAACAGGTTTACCTGTATGGGGTTCTTACTCCTTTCAAAGGGTTGCATCTCTGGGTCGCATGATTTTGCTTCTGTCTCCGGGCTTGCATCCCACTCTGGGTGCCTTGGGCCGCATGAGTTTACACCTGTCTTCCACTTGTCTCCCACACTTGTCTGCCACTCTGGTGCCTTGGGCCGCATGAGTTTACAGTTTACACTTGTCTCCCACACTCGTCTCCCACACTTGCCTTTCACACTTGTCTCCCACTCTGGGTGCCTTGGGCCGCATGAGGTTACACTTGTCTCCCACACTTGTCTCCCACACTTGTCTCCCACACTTGTCTCCCACTCTGGGTGCCTTGGGCCCCATGAGTTTACACTTGTCTTCCACTTGTCTCCCACACTTGTCTCCCATTCTGGGTGCCTTGGGCCGCATGAGTTTAGTTTACACTTGTCTTCCATTTGTCTCCCACACTTGTCTCCCACTCTGGGTGTCTTGGGCCGCATGATTTTACACTTGTCCCCCACTTCTCCCTCACACTTGGGTGCTTTGGGCCGCATGAGTTTACACTTGTCTTCCACTTGTCTCCCACACTTGTCTTTCACTCTGGGTGTCTTGGGCCGCATGAGTTTACACTTGTCTCCCACTTGTCTCCCACACTTGTCTCCCACACCCACACTTGTCTTCCACACTTGTCTCCCACTCAAGGTGCCTTGGGCCGCATGATTTTACACTTGTCTCCCGCTTGTCCCTCACACTTGTGTGCCTTCGGCCGCATGATTTTACACTTGTCTTCCACTTGTCTCCCACACTTATCTCCCACTCTGGGTGCCTTGGGCCGCATGATTTTACACTTGTCTTCCACTTGTCTCCCACACTTATCTCCCACTCTGGGTGCCTTGGGCCGCATGAGTTTACACTTGTCTCCCACACTTGTCTTCCACACTTGTCTCCCACTCTGGGTGTCTTGGGCCGCATGAGTTTACACTTGTCTCCCACTTGTCCCTCACACTTGTCTTCGACTCTGGGTGTCTTGGGCCGCATGATTTTCAGACTTGTCTCCCACTTGTCTCCCACACTTGTCTCTCACACTTGTCTCCCACGCTTGTCTCCCACTCTGGGTGCCTTGGGCCGCATGAGTTTACACTTGTATTCCACTTGTCTCCCACACTTGTCTCTCACTCTGGGTGTCTTGGGCCGCATGATTTTACACTTGTCTCCCACTTGTTCCCCAAACAGGTTTACCTGTATGGGGTTCTTACTCCTTTCAAAGGGTTGCATCCCTGGGCCGCATGATTTTGCCTCTGTCTCCGGGCTTGCATCCCACTCTGGGTGCCTTGGGCCGCATGAGTTTACACCTGTTTTCCACTTGTCTTTCACACTTGTCTGCCACTCTGGGTGCCTTGGGCCGCATGAGTTTACAGTTTACACTTGTCTCCCACACTCGTCTCCCACACTTGCCTTTCACACTTGTCTTGCACTCTGGGTGCCTTGGGCCGCATGAGTTTACACGTGTCTTCCACTTGTCTCCCACACTTGTCTCCCACTCTGGGTGCCTTGGGCCGCATGAGTTTACACTTGTCTCCCACTTGTCCCTCACACTTGTCTCCCCCTCTGGGTGCCTTCGGCCGCATGAGTTTACACTTGTCTCCCACACTTGTCTCCCACTCTGGGTGCCTTGGGCCGCATGATTTTACACTTGTCTCCTCACTCTGGGTGTCTTGTGCCGCATGAGTTTACACTTGTCTCCCACTTGTCTCCCACACTTGTCTCGCAATCTGGGTGCCTTGCGCCGCATGAGTCTACACTTGTCTTCCATTTGTCTCCCACACTTGTCTCCCACTCTGGGCGCCTTGGGCCGCATGAGTTTATACTTGTTTCCCACTTGTCTCCCACACTTGTCTCCCACTCTGGGTGCCTTGGGCCGCATGAGTTTGCACTTGTCTCTCACACTTGTCTTCCACACTTGTCTCCCACTCTGGTTGCCTTGGGCCACATGAGTTTACACTTGTATCCCACACTTGTCTCCCACTCTGGGTGCCTTGGGCCGCATGAGTTTACACTTGTCTCGCCCTTGTCTCCCACACTTGTCTCCCACTCTGGGTGCCTTGGGCCGCATGAGTTTACACTTGTCTTCCACTTGTCTCCCGCACTTGTCTTTCACTCTGGGTGTCTTGGGCCGCATGAGTTTACACTTGTCTCCCACACTTGTCTCCCACATTTGTCTCCCACTCTGGGTGCCTTGGGCCGCATGAGTTTGCACTTGTCTCCCACTTGTCTCCCACTTGTCTCCCACACTTGTCTTTCACTCTGGTTGCCTTGGGCCGCATGAGTTTACACTTGTCTCCCACTTGTCTCCCACACTTGTCTCGCACTCTGGGTGCCTTGGGCCGCCTGAGTTTACACTTGTCTTCCATTTGTCTCCCACACTTGTCTCCCACTCAAGGTGCCTTGGGCCGAATGATTTTACACTTGTCCCCCACTTATCCCTCACACTTGGGTGCCTTCGGCCACATGAGTTGACACTTGTCTTCCACTTGTCTCCCACACTTGTCTCCCACTCTGGGTGCCTTCGGCCGCATGATTTTACACTTGTCTTCCACTTGTCTTCCGCACTTGTCTCCCACTCTGGGTGCCTTGGGCCACATCATTTTACACTTGTCTCCCGTTTGTCCCTCACACTCTGGGTTCCGTGGGCCGCATGAGTTTTGTTTACACTTGTCTTCCACTTGTCTCCCACACTTGTCTTTCACTCTTGTCTTCCACACTTGTCTCCCACACTTGTCTGCCACTCTGGGTGCCTTGGGCCGCATGAGTTTACACTTGTCTCCCCCTTGTGTCCCACACTTGTCTCCCACTCTGGGTGCCTTGGGCCGCATGAGTTTACACATGTCTCCCACACTTGTCTCCCACACTTGTCTCCCACACTTGTCTCCCGCAAGACACCCAGAGTGAAAGACAAGTGTGGGAGACAAGTGGAAGGGACAAGTGGGAGACAAGTGTAAAATCATGCGGCCGAAGACACCCAGAGTGCACTTGTCTCCCACTCCTTGGGCCGCATGATTTTACACTTGTCTCCCACTTGTCCCTCACACTTGGGTGCCTTGGGCCGCTTGAGTTTACACTTGTCTTCCACTTGGCTCCCACACTTGTCTTTCAGTCTGGGTGTCTTGGGTCGCATGATTTTCAGACTTGTCTCCCACTTGTCTCCCACACTTGTCTCTCACACTTGTCTCCCACGCTTGTCTCCCACTCTGGGTGCCTTGGGCCGCATGAGTTTACACTTGTCTTCCACTTGTCTCCCACACTTGTCTCTCACTCTGGGTGTCTTGGGCCGCATGATTTTACACTTGTCTCCCACTTGTTCCCCAAACAGGTTTACCTGTATGGGGTTCTTACTCCTTTCAAAGGGTTGCATCCCTGGGCCGCATGATTTTGCCTCTGTCTCCGGGCTTGCATCCCACTCTGGGTGCCTTGGGCCGCATGAGTTTACACCTGTTTTCCACTTGTCTTTCACACTTGTCTGCCACTCTGGGTGCCTTGGGCCGCATGAGTTTACAGTTTACACTTGTCTCCCACACTCGTCTCCCACACTTGCCTTTCACACTTGTCTCGCACTCTGGGTGCCTTGGGCCGCATGAGTTTACACGTGTCTTCCACTTGTCTCCCACACTTGTCTCCCACTCTGGGTGCCTTGGGCCGCATGAGTTTACACTTGTCTCCCACTTGTCCCTCACACTTGTCTCCCCCTCTGGGTGCCTTGGGCCGCATGAGTTTACACTTGTCTCCCACACTTGTCTCCCACTCTGGGTGCCTTGGGCCGCATGATTTTACACTTGTCTCCTCACTCTGGGTGTCTTGTGCCGCATGATTACACTTGTCTCCACTTGTCTCCCACACTTGTCTCGCACTCTGGGTGCCTTGGGCCGCATGAGTCTACACTTGTCTTCCATTTGTCTCCCACACTTGTCTCCCACTCTGGGTGCCTTGGGCCGCATGAGTTTACACTTGTTTCCCACTTGTCTCCCACACTTGTCTCCCACTCTGGGTGCCTTGGGCCGCATGAGTTTACACATGTCTCCCACACTTGTCTTCCACACTTGTCTCCCACTCTGGTTGCCTTGGGCCACATGAGTTTACACTTGTCTCCCACACTTATCTCCCACACTTGTCTCCCACTCTGGGTGTCTTGGGCCGCATGAGTTTACACTTGTCTTCCACTTGTCTCCCACACTTGTCTCCCACTCTGGGTGCCTTGGGCCGCATGAGTTTATAGAATGGGCTAGCGCCCGGGTGCCGCCGACCCCCCCTATTTGGGGGGTCCTGTAGAGAGAGGGAGAGAGATAGATAGATGGATGGATGGATGGATGGATGGATGGATAGATCGGTAGAGAGATAGAGAGAGAGAGAGAGAGAGATAGACAGATAGATAGATAGACAGTTGGATAGACAGATAGGTAGATGGAGAGATAGATGGATAGATGGCTGGATGGATAGATAGATAGATAGATGGATAGATAGATAGAGAGGGAGAGATAGATAGAGAGGGAGAGAAAGAGAGAGAGGGAGAGATAGATAGATAGATAGATAGATAGATAGATAGATAGATAGAGAGATAGATAGATAGATAGATACATAGATAGATACATAGATAGATAGATAGATACATAGATAGATAGATAGATAGATAGATTAATAGTTGATTCTTGCATTGAGCTTGCGGTTGCAAGGCATATGTGTGGAATGTTGAGCCAAAATGTCCGGTGGAAGCATAATCCAGGTGTGTCACCTGGACAGATTTTGAAAAACGGATTACGATTGTGTATTTTCTTTCGCACGTTCTTCGAACATGTCGGTTTCGTCGGGCGACGAGTGGGAGCTTATCTCCAATGCTCTGATCAAGGATCAGGACGAGGCAGCCGATTTCTTGGCACGTCCACTGGCGCCAGGAGAAGAGATCTCCATGGATCTCCAGGCTAAGATGACCGATTTGCAGGACACCATCTCCCGCCTGGTGAAGCTGGACATCAAGGGCAAGGAGGAAGACCAATCTCATCCAGCGGACAGGGAGATTCAGTCGGAAGTGACATCTACACCTATGGACGTGGACGTGATGCATCGCGCTGACCTTGGAGTCTCACCAGCTGAGAGTGGAGGCTACCCCGAAGCAGAACAGGTGCCGCTGGCCCTGAGAGCGGAAGGGTCTGGCACCGCCCCAGCTGGTTTTGTGCGACCAATGACCCACGCACCAACACACCAGCCTGTTCGCTGGTGTTTAGACCCAGAGAACCATGCATTTAGCAAGCTTGTTGCTTTTCCGGATTCTTTCCCCTGCGTGCCAAATTATCTGGTCAACATGTTGCAATCTTGCACGGAACCAGAACTGGCTGACTTGTTTTCGAAGTTCATGCACCTGCCCCTCTCTGAGGCGGTCGTCCGAAGGATTCTTGAAGCATACATACCGATGAAAAGTCAATGCCAACAAGAAATGATCTGGACGATGGGCGCACAACGATCGAAGTCTACATCTGGCCTGGGCATGGCAGATCTCCAAGCGCGACCCTTAGGCCACCAGACCTACACCCATATGTGCAGTTCTTGCACGTCCGGATGGCCAGAGAGGGCCACTTCCTGCTTCATGTGCCAGAAGGGGACCCGGGTTCCCTTTGTACCACCCACAGCCTCCTTCACGCTGGACGAGGTGGTTTGGACCTTGGTGCCGGTGGATGGGAAGCCCACATGGGTTCAGGCGGCCAGTCAGGCGAAGGGTGCCGCTGGCCCCGATAGCTCGACGAGCCCTGCCCAGAAGCTGGAACGATCGGTGGATGCCACCCAACTGGCACAGCCCCCAGGTGCTACCTCCTCCTTGGATGAGGTAACTATGGCAGATGCAGTCCCTATGGCGCTCCGCATGAGCATGCGAGAAGAGGTGCTGGAACAGACGATTGATGAAGACGCCAAGGAGGCAGCCAGTCTCTTGCAAGAACAGAAGCAGAACTTGGCGGCCAAGAGAGCCCAGAGTTTCCAGGTTTTTCATCCAGAGGCGGCGAGGGCTTTGGATATTCAGAGCAAAGCGATGTCCCATGTGAACCTGGTTCACCAGGAAGAGGCCTTGGATGAAGAGGCAAAGCGCCAAAAGACGGAGCTGGTCAAGGACGCAGTCAACCTGAACCTGCAAGTTTTGAGCTCCATACAGGAAGGCCTCCAGGCCGTCCCTGACAGCAGTGTCCTCAGCCGTGGAGTGGATCTCCTACGTCGCACAAACCTGGAGAAGTTAAAGGAGAAGATGAAGGACTCCCTGTTGGAAGGGAAGAGACACACCGTGGCTGACATCACCCAGGCCCAAACCTCTGTTGAGGAGGCCCGCCTGGCAAACAAGCGCCTCCAGGACCAGGGCACGGAATGGATGAAGAAATATTCTCTTCAACCAGAAGACCCATCTGTATGGCCAGAAGAATTCAAGGCCAAGCTGGAGCGAGGCTTATTGTGCCCCATTGACATTGACGATGATGCCGACCGCCTTGCCCCACCAGAGATCAACGCGGAGTACCTTGACTTCCTTGGCGAACTGAACCGAGGAAAGAAGGCCTATCCGCCACAGCTCCTGAATGACATGCCAGCCCTTGCACAGACCTTCATGACCCCGGCCACTTCGACCGGGCACAACGACCAAAGCACGGGGATGAATGAACTCACGGAAGACGCCAAGAAGGTGGCCATGCTGACATGGGCGATGAAGTACCACAAAGGGGAGCAGCGTATGCATGCAGGCTGCTGGCACAAGGTGGATGAGGTGAACCCGCCAGAATGGGCCCTAAAGATCAAGCTCACCCCGCATCAATTGCAGGCCCTGGAACGTCGCACCCATGTGGAGGGCCTCATGCATGGAAGACCCCATGGATCCTGTCATCTTCACCCAGACAGAGGTGGACGACCAGATCGCCCAGGGGATCAGGCCCCCAATCAAGGATGTCGTGGGCCTTTTCTGGGCGGATGGACCTGAGGGCAAGTGGAAGCAAGAGACCAGGACCTGGACTCTCCCGACCTTGATCAACATCATGGGCACCGATACACATTCAAGATGATCTACTCGGCGTGGAGTCAGATGCCCATTGCCATCCCGAAGCACCGTCGAGGAGACAATTCGGCGACATCAGCAACGGCAACCAGGGCAGCAAATTTCAATCTCATCAGGAAAGAAGCCAAGGCCTTCGTCCAACTTCATGGGCTTGAGAAGCTTCAAAGTAAGGAGGATTGGGCCACCCTATTCCGGGAAATGGGGCGCTTCTTGGCAACAAAGACATTCATGACCAACTGCCCGGCCCCGGTTATGGAGATGCCCATTCAGCCTATTCACGACAGCAAAGAGGCTCTACGATTCAGAGCTGTTTGTGACGAGCGGATCACTTTGCCCCTTTCGGCATTTGCAGACCACCCCATGGTGTATGACAAACTCCTGCAGTCATTCCACCCAGACAGCATGGTGGACGTCAAGGTGAATTGGCGCTGCAACGTTCAGCACACATGTGCTGCGGAGGTGACCCCTGAGCAAGCATGGCCCATCTACCTGAAGCTGGGCTACAAAGAGCAGGAGCTCCTCAACATGGGCCTGAAGCCTCCCCCTACGGGTGCCGCTGGCCCCGAGGGGGGCGGTGACACCACGGGTACCACAGAGCTCATGGAAGACAGGAAGGGCTTCACCTACCCCATGCTCACAGAGGCGAATGTTCTCAGTGTGGCCAGAGGGGATTACAAGAAGAAGAACTTTGGGGGCCTCAGTGGATGAAACCACGAAAAGGGGAACCCAAGGGCAAGGGCACCACCAAAGGAACGCCGGGGGGCAAGGGCAAGACCACCAAAGGTAAATCAAAGACCCCGGGCAAGCTCGATTGGCCGTCACACTGGGCCATGAGGAACCCCAAAAATGTGCCATATTGCAGGGACTTCCATTTGTACAAGTCCTGCACGGGCCAGTGTGGCCGATCCCACAATTGTCCAGTCCGGGTTGATGGATGGACATGTGATGCAGCGCCTGGAACTCACAGCACGAGTGAGTGTCCACACACCCCCAAGTGACAGGAGGCCCGAACAGGTGCCACTGGCCCTGAGCAAGCCTCCTCAATACAAAGGGCTCCCCTCCCCGGGGAAGGACCTCAACGGTCCATACGACAACCAACGTCATGGCACCACGGACCCTGGGGTACACCCTCAGGTGGCACAACGAAAGAGTGTGAAATCACTCTCAAGGTTCCCGGACCCTGGGACACACCCCCAGGTGGTACAACAAAAGAGCGTAGCACCACTCTCAATGACCCCGGACCCTGGGGAACACCCCCAGGTGGTACAACAACAGAATGAAAGACCACTCCCAAAGCTCCCGGACCCTGGGGTACACCCCCAGGTGGTACAACAAAAGAGTGGAGCACCACTCTCAATGATCCCGGACCCTGGGCCACACCCCCAGGTGGCACAACAACAGAGTGAAAGACCACTCTCAATAATCCCGGACCCTGGGGCACACCCCCAGGTGGTACAACAAAAGAATGTAGCACCACTCTCAATGATCCCGGACCCTGGGGCACACCACCAGGTGGCACAACAACAGAGTGAAAGACCACTCTCAATGATCCCGGACCCTGGGGCACACCCCCAGGTGGTACAACAAAAGAGTGTAGCACCACTCTCAATGATCCCTCAATGATCCCGGACCCTGGGGGGCACCCCCAGGCGGCACCACGAAAGAGTGCGAAGCCACTCTCCCCGGTGGACACCACCCCACGACATGGCACCACGGACCCTGGGGAACACCCCCAGGCGGCACCACGAAGGATCGAGAGACCACTCACACAGGTGGGAACCACACCACAGTTCACGTGGATGCAATATATTCCCCAGAGACTCCAGGGGCGTCTGGACTGGACACCAGTAGCCCTCGACAAGTGGGCCAAACCTGTCATACTGTTGTTGTATGCAGGTAAAGATGATGCAGGATCATTGGATGCCTGCCTCCATGCTCACCATGCATGGTTATCACCCTTTGTGAGAGCTATTGACACACGCAGAGATACAGGGCCAATGGGCCAAGATATGCTCGCCCCGGAGCCATACAACACCCTGTGCACCATGGCGGCTCGAGGCCTTATCCCCATAGTTACGGGGGGCCCAAACTGCAGGACCTGGAGTATCCTGCGCTGGCTCCCCAAACCAGGTGCCCCAAAGCCAGTCAGAAGACGGTCAGAGGAACAGGTATGGGGCCTCCCCGGCCTTACACCCAAAGATCAGGAAGATGTGGACAATGACAGCACTCTCCTGCTTCGACAAATGTACCTCACGTCACTAGCATATCAGGGAGTGGCATCACAAACAATCCCGCACTGCAAGGGTTCTGGCCCGAGACGCTTTGGCAGAGTTTTGAGAGTTTTAAAGGGTTTTAAGCGTTTTAGGAGTTTGGAGGGTTTTCCGGGTTTAGGGGCTGGCAAACGGCAAGCTTGGACGCCCATAAGAAGCCATTGATGTGGCCTTGGGATGCCTGTTGGCTGAGTTTTCAGAGTTTTAAGGGTTTTAAGCGTTTTAGGGGTTTTAGGGGTTTGGAGGGTTGTAGGGGTTTAGGGGCTGGCAAACGGCAAGCTTGGACGCCCATAAGAAGCCATTGATGTGGCCTTGGGATGCCTGTTGGCTGAGTTTTGAAATTTTAAGTGCTTTAAGCGTTTTAGGGGTTATAGGGGTTTGGAGGGTTTTAGGGGTTTGGGGGCTGGCAAACGGCAAGCTTGGATGCCCATAAGAAGCCATTGATGTGGCCTTGGGCTGCCTGTTGGCGGCGAATGCCTGGTGAACGGCAAACTGGACCGTCAGAAAAAGCAAGGGATCTGGCCCGAGACGCTTTGGCAGAGTTTTGAGAGTTTTAAAGGGTTTTAAGCGTTTTAGGGGTTTGGAGGGTTGTAGGGGTTTAGGGGCTGGCAAACGGCAAGCTTGGACGCCCATAAGAAGCCATTGATGTGGCCTTGGGATGCCTGTTGGCTGAGTTTTCAGAGTTTTAAGGGTTTTAGGGGTTTTAGGGGTTTTAGGGGTTTGGAGGGTTGTAGGGGTTTAGGGGCTGGCAAACGGCAAGCTTGGACGCCCATAAGAAGCCATTGATGTGGCCTTGGGATGCCTGTTGGCTGAGTTTTGAAATTTTAAGTGCTTTAAGCGTTTTAGGGGTTTTAGGGGTTTTAGGGGTTTGGAGAGTTTTAGGGGTTTGGGGGCTGGCAAACGGCAAGCTTGGACGCCCATAAGAAGCCATTGATGTGGCCTTGGGCTGCCTGTTGGCGGCGCATGCCTGGTGAACGGCAAACTGGACCGTCAGAAAAAGCAAGGGATCTGGCCCGAGACGCTTTGGCAGAGTTTTGAGAGTTTTAAGGGTTTTAAGCGTTTTAGGGGTTTGGAGGGTTGTAGGGGTTTAGGGGCTGGCAAACAGCAAGCTTGGACGCCCATAAGAAGCCATTGATGTGGCCTTGGGATGCCTGTTGGCTGCGAATGCCCGGCGAACGGCACGCTGGACCGCCCAGAAAAAGCAATGGATCTGGCCCGAGACGCTTTTGCAGAATTTGGAGAGTTGTAAGGGTTGTAAGCGTTTTAGGGGTTTGGCGGGTTTTAGGAGTTTAGTAACTGGCAAACGTCAAGCTTGGACGCCCATAAGTAGGTTTGACCTTGGAAAGCTAAGAAGGAGAAGTTCCACACCTGCGGTGGTCCCAGGCGCCGCCCCTGCCTTGGCCAAGGCCGGGGTCGGCGGACACTTGTCTCCCCCTTGTCTCCCACACTTGTCTCCCACTCTGGGTGCCTTGGGCCGCATGAGTTTACACTTGTCTTCCACTTGTCTCCCACACTTGTCTCGCACTCTGGGTGCATGGGCCGCCTGAGTTTACACTTGTCTTCCATTTGTCTCCGACACTTGTCTCCCACTCAAGGTGCCTTGGGCCGAATGATTTTACACTTGTCTCCCACTTATCCCTCACACTTGGGTGCCTTCGACCGCATGAGTTTACAATTGTCTTCCACTTGTCTCCCACACTTGTCTCCCACTCTGGGTGCCTTGGGCCGCATGATTTTACACTTGTCTTCCACTTGTCTTCCGCACTTGTCTCCCACTATGGGTGCCTTGGGCCACATCATTTTACACTTGTCTCCCGTTTGTCCCTCACACTTGTCTCCCACTCTGGATGCCTTGGGCCGCATGAGTTTACACTTGTCTCCCACACTTGTCTCCCACTCTGGGTGCCTTGGGCCGCATGATTTTACACTTGTCTCCTCACTCTGGGTGTCTTGTGCCGCATGAGTTTACACTTGTCTCCCACTTGTCTCCCACACTTGTCTCGCAATCTGGGGGCCTTTGGCCGCATGAGTCTACACTTGTCTTCCATTTGTCTCCCACACTTGTCTCCCACTCTGGGTGCCTTGGGCCGCATGAGTTTACACTTGTTTCCCACTTGTCTCCCACACTTGTCTCCCACTCTGGGTGCCATGGGCCGCATGAGTTTGCACTTGTCTCTCACACTTGTCTTCCACACTTGTCTCCCACTCTGTTTGCCTTGTGCCACATGAGTTTACACTTGTCTCCCACACTTGTCTCCCCCTTGTCTCCCACACTTGTCTCCCACTCTGGGTGCCTTGGGCCGCATGAGTTTACACTTGTCTTCCACTTGTCTCCCACAGTTGTCTTTCACTCTGGGTGTCTTGGGCCGCATGAGTTTACACTTGTCTCCCACACTTGTCTCCCACTCTGGGTGCCTTGGGCCGCATGAGTTTGCACTTGTCTCCCACTTGTTTCCCACTTGTCTCCCACACTTGTCTTTCACTCTGGTTGCCTTGGGCCGCATGAGTTTACAGTTGTCTCCCACTTGTCTCCCACACTTGTCTCGCACTCTGGGTGCCTTGGGCCGCCTGAGTTTACACTTGTCTTCCATTTGTCTCCCACACTTGTCTCCCACTCAAGGTGCCTTGGGCCGAATGATTTTACACTTGTCTCCCACTTATCCCTCACACTTGGGTGCCTTCGGCCGCATGAGTTTACACTTGTCTTCCACTTGTCTCCCACACTTGTCTCCCACTCTGGGTGCCTTGGGCCGCATGATTTTACACTTGTCTTCCACTTGTCTTCCGCACTTGTCTCCCACTCTGGGTGCCTTGGGCCACATGATTTTACACTTGTCTCCCGTTTGTCCCTCACACTCTGGGTTCCTTGGGCCGCATGTGTCTTCCACTTGTCTCCCACACTTGTCTTTCACTCTTGTCTTCCACACTTGTCTCCCACACTTGTCTGCCACTCTGGGTGCCTTGGGCCGCATGAGTTTACACTTGTCTCCCCCTTGTGTCCCACACTTGTCTCCCACTCTGGGTGCCTTGGGCCGCATGAGTTTACACATGTCTCCCACACTTGTCTCCCACACTTGTCTCCCGCAAGACACCCAGAGTGAAAGACAAGTGTGGGAGACAAGTGGAAGGGACAAGTGGGAGACAAGTGTAAAATCATGCGGCCGAAGACACCCAGAGTGCACTTGTCTCCCACTCCTTGGGCCGCATGATTTTACACTTGTCTCCCACTTGTCCCTCACACTTGGGTGCCTTGGGCCGCATGAGTTTACACTTGTCTTCCACTTGGCTCCCACACTTGTCTTTCAGTCTGGGTGTCTTGGGTCGCATGATTTTCAGACTTGTCTCCCACTTGTCTCCCACACTTGTCTCCCACACTTGTCTCCCACGCTTGTCTCCCACTCTGGGTGCCTTGGGCCGCATGAGTTTACACTTGTCTTCCACTTGTCTCCCACACTTGTCTCTCACTCTGGGTGTCTTGGGCCGCATGATTTTACACTTGTCTCCCACTTGTTCCCCAAACAGGTTTACCAGTATGGGGTTCTTACTCCTTTCAAAGGGTTGCCTCCCTGGGCCGCATGATTTTGCCTCTGTCTCCGGGCTTGCATCCCACTCTGGGTGCCTTGGGCCGCATGAGTTTACACCTGTTTTCCACTTGTCTTTCACACTTGTCTGCCAATCTGGGTGCCTTGGGCCGCATGAGTTTACAGTTTACACTTGTCTCCCACACTCGTCTCCCACACTTGCCTCTCACACTTGTCTCGCACTCTGGGTGCCTTGGGCCGCATGAGTTTACACGTGTCTTCCACTTGTCTCCAACACTTGTCTCCCACACTTGTCTCCCACTCGGGGTGCCTTGGGCCGCATGAGTTTATACTTGTCTCCCGTTTGTCCCTCACACTTGTCTCCCCCTCTGGGTGCCTTGGGCCGCATGAGTTTACACTTGTCTCCCACACTTGTCTCCCACTCTGGGTGCCTTGGGCCGCATGATTTTACACTTGTCTCCTCACTCTGGGTGTCTTGTGCCGCATGATTACACTTGTCTTCCATTTGTCTCCCACACTTGTCTCGCAATCTGGGTGCCTTGGGCCGCATGAGTCTACACTTGTCTTCCATTTGTCTCCCACACTTGTCTCCCACTCTGGATGCCTTGGGCCGCATGAGTTTACACTTGTTTCCCACTTGTCTCCCACACTTGTCTCCCACTCTGGGTGCCTTGTGCCGCATGAGTTTGCACTTGTCTCTCACACTTGTCTTCCACACTTGTCTCCCACTCTGGTTGCCTTGGGCCACATGAGTTTACACTTGTCTCCCACACTTGTCTCCCACACTTATCTCCCACACGTGTCTCCCACTCTGGGTGTCTTGGGCCGCATGAGTTTACACTTGTTTCCCACTTGTCTCCCACACTTGTCTTCCACACTTGTCTCCCACTCTGGTTGCCTTGGGCCACATGAGTTTACACTTGTCTCCCACACTTGTCTCCCACACTTATCTCCCACACTTGTCTCCCACTCTGGGTGCCTTGGGCCGCATGAGTTTACACTTGTTTCCCACTTGTCTCCCACACTTGTCTCCCACTCTGGGTGCCATGGGCCGCATGAGTTTGCACTTGTCTCTCACACTTGTCTTCCACACTTGTCTCCCACTCTGTTTGCCTTGTGCCACATGAGTTTACACTTGTCTCCCACACTTGTCTCCCCCTTGTCTCCCACACTTGTCTCCCACTCTGGGTGCCTTGGGCCGCATGAGTTTACACTTGTCTTCCACTTGTCTCCCACACTTGTCTCCCACTCTGGGTGTCTTGGGCCGCATGATTTTACACTTGTCTCCCACACTTGTCTCCCACTCTTGTTTCCCACACTTGTCTCCCACTCTGGGTTCTTTGGGCTGAGTTTACACTTGTCTCCCACTTGTCTCCCACACTTGTGTCCCACACTTGTCTCCCATTCGGATTACTTGGTTCGCATGTACAATATAGTTTAAAATTTCTACATCTGTTTGTGGTCAACGCTGGTATAATTGCCTGCTGCCTGCTGCCTGCTGCGGCTGCTGCGGCTGCTGCGGCTGCTGCTGCTGCTGCTGCTGCGGCTGCTGCGGCTGCTGCGGCTGCTGCTGCCGCTGCCGCTGCCGCTGCTGCCTGTTCAAAAAACAGCCCCCGGATAATGCTGCTGCTGCAGCTACTAGCGGCAGCTGCTAGCGGCAGCTGCCTACTGGCTGCTGAGTCCTGGCTGCTGACTACTGGCTGCCGCTGCCTGCTTACTGGCTGCTGGCTACTGGCTGCTGCTGGCTGCTGGCTGCTGGCTGCTTCTGCCGCTGGCTGCTGCAAAAACGTGGGTCCCGGGCAGTGAAAATCAGGGAAACACCATGGCAGTGAAGGACGGATGGGCCAGAAAAAAAATCACCAAAAACTGCCTAACGTCTCGTCTGAAACTGCTCTAAACAAGGCTACACCTGAGCCTCCTGCTGCTGCTGCTGCTGCCGCTGCCGCTGCCGCTGCCCGGCAGCGGCCGCTGCCTGTTCAAAAAAACAGCCCCCGGATAATGCTGCTGGTGCAGCTGCTAGCGGCAGCTGCCTACTGGCTGTTGAGTCCTGGCTGCTGACTACTCGCTGCCGCTGCCTGCTTACTGGCTGCTGGCTACTGGCTGCTGCTGGCTGCTGGCTGCTGGCTGCTTCTGCCGCTGGCTGCTGCAAAAACGTGGGTCCCGGACAGTGAAAATCAGGGAAACACCATGGCAGTGAAGGACGGATGGGCCAGAAAAAAAATGACCAAAAACTGCCTAACGTCTCGTCTGAAACTGCTCTAAACAAGGCTACACCTGAGCCTCCTGCTGCTGCTGCTGCTGCCGCCTGTTCAAAAGAGCCCCCGGAGAATGCATCTGCTGCAGCTGCTGGCGGCAGCTGCCTACTGGCTGCTGACTACTGGCCGCCTGCTGCCTGCTTACTGGCTGCTTGGCGGCTGCTGCCTACTGGCTGCTGAGTCCTGGCTGCCCCCTGCCTGCTGGCTACTGGCTGCTGCCGCTGCTCTGCTGCTGCTACCACTGCCGCTGCTGTGCTGCTGCTACTGCTGCTGCTACTTTGGAAAGCTTCCCAAGACCCGTTGTTGTATTTCTTGTTGTCCACAACCTCTCTTCCCTGACGCGCTCCCCCTTGCTGTCGGCCGGGGTCGGCGGATATATTGTTTCAAAAGTGTTCTACGTGACTGCATTCGGGTTCGTGTGCTGCATCTTGTTTATATTATAGGATTTTTGAGTTAGTATTGGGGGGAAGCGCGCCCTAATACTAAATACCCCCTAATACTAAGAACTGCTCCAAGTGTGTATTATTTGGGGGGACGGTGTAGTAGTCGGGGAAGGGATTATAAAGTCTTTCCAGCATCAGAGCTCAAGGATTTTGGGCATGTCCAATGTGGTGGCAACAGAGTCCTTCTCCATCACTATGGAAAGGAAATGCCTGTGTCCATTGATCGTGACCCATGGGCCTGACCAAGTCCCTGGGCTTGGGCTCTTCAGCGCACGGTATATCATGGTATACATGAGTCAATGAGGCTCGTATGAAATCCAGCCCCGACATGGCAAGGTCACGAGTTGTCCTGGTTTCATTCCCATCCAAGAAGGATAAGAAGGATATGAAGGATTGAAACATATTGAACCGATCATTGGCTGATATCTTTGTGTTGACTGGTGGTAGCTTGCCGCTTGGACCTTTTAGGCCGTTCCTCAGTGCTGCGGCAGTTTGAGGTGCCTATCTCATCGCGGTTTAGCCTGCGAGAGGAGAGTGGGTTCGACTGCTACAGGAGTATATATATATATATTGCCAGAAACATCCAGAAACCATAAATACAGCTTGGATATGTAGAAAGCATGCCGAAAACATTGGCAACATTTGGAAACGTTACTGGAAACGCTTTCATATGTTCATTGTCCTGCAGTCTATTTACCAGCTACATCCAGTTCGCACTGTCAGGCAAGGCGAACCAGAGCAGGTGACCGTGTCCTCTATGCAGGATCCCAGTGTGGTTCAGAACTATGGCAGCTTATTGGAGCAGCTGGTGCAGACCATTCCTGATGGCCTTGTACCGGCCCAAGTTTCGATTTGCAAGGTCAAATTTGGAGCAATTCTTTGCAAAACAGATTTGTTTGAATATGTGTGCAAAAAAGTCAAGAATCAACTGCAGTCGCCGTTTGAGACTATCTCTCTCTAGGACTGCAGTGAGTTGATTTACTGAGGAAGGTTGATAGATGTTGAACAAGGGTAAGCACAGCAGATGTCTCAATTGATCTCAACGCCCTGTCGCCCTTTTGGCTCGACAGCTGCGGTGATGACGGTGATGGAAGTTGGCGTGAGTGTTTGAACCATTTGAACCGACGGACGTGACACAATGGAGGAGGAAGATTGTCAAATGTGTGGCACAAAGTACCTCCCTGGTGCTCGTTTTTGCCGAAAATGTGGCCACAAGCGCGGGGCGGTGGGGGCGGCAGTGCCGGCAGGTTCAGGTGCTGTTCCAGCGTACGCCGCAGGACCTCCAGTCACCATGATGGCACCAGCTACCTCAGTACCAGTGACTGCTCCAGCACCAGTGACTACCTACACTCGCGCACCTGTGACTGCTCCAGCAGTGGCACAGGTGGCAGTTCGGCCTCAAGTGCAGCTGGTGGAAAAAATTGTGGAAGTACCACAGGCGGGCGGGGATAGCAAATGAGCAAACTTGTTGAACAGTATTTCAACTGAGAACATTATATGTATATATAATTCATATAATATAAGTATTAAATATAAATATATATATATATAATGTTGACATCGGATTAATAAACCCCCCCTCAACCATTAAGAGCATCAGAATAAAGTTAGGGCCAAACATTCAACTATCGTAAAAATCACCTATGTATTCCCAAATGAATTGCCTAATTGAAAACGAATACATAAGGGAACTTTCCAAAAAAAAATCATCTATGCATTCCCAAATGAATTGCCTAATTGAAAACGAATACATAAGGGAACTTTCCCAAAAAAGAAAAAACACGTATGTATTCCCAAATGAATTGCCTAATTGAAAACGAATACATAAGGGAACTTTCCCAAAAAAGAAAAAACACGCATGTATTCCCAAATGAACTGCCTAATTGAAAACGATTACATAGAGGGAACTTTCCAAAAATTACTTTACTTCGTGTGATCCCCACCATGACATTTATACATTTTCTTACTGGCAAATCTTCTGGCATTCTATCTGACATATCTTCTGACATTCTATTTGGCATTCTATCTAGCATATCTTCTGGCATTCTATCTTCTGGCATTCTATCTGGCAAATCTTCTGGCATTCTATCTGGCATATCTTCTGGCATTCTATCTGACATATCTTCTGGCATTCTATCTGGCATTCTATCTGGCATATCTTTCTGGCATATATTCTGACATATCTTCTGGCATTCTATCTGGCATATCTTCTGGCATTTCTTCTGGCATATCTATCTGGCATATCTTCTGGCATTCTATCTTCTGGCATTCTATCTGGCAAATCTTCTGGCATTCTATCTGGCATATCTTCTGGCATTCTATCTGGCATATCTTCTGGCATTCTATCTGGTATATCTTCTGGCATTCTATCTGGCATATCTTCTGGCATTCTATCTGGCATATCTCATGGCATTTTATCTGGCATATCTTCTGACATTCTATCTGGCATATCTTCTGACATTCTTTCTGGCATATCTTCTGACATTCTGTCTGGCATATCTTCTGACATTCTTTCTGACATATCTTCTGACATTCTATCTGACATCTTTTCTGACATTCTTGCCATTGAGGTCCGGCAGTGCCCACTGCGATCTGGAAGTCGCGGTTGAGGTCCGGCAGGGAACACTGGGCGTGGATGGTCGTGGTTGAGGTCCGGCAGGGAACACTGGGCGTGGATGGTCGTGTTTGAGGTCCGGCAGGGAACACTGGGCGTGGATGGTCGTGGTTGAGGTCCGGCAGAGAACACTGTGGATCGCGGGTCGCAGTTGAGCAAGGACGACGAGGACGACGAGGACGACGAGGACGACGAGGATGACGAGGAGGACGAGGAGGACGAGGAGGAGAGGAGGAGGAGGAGGAGGACGAGGCAGGAGTCAGGAGGAGGCAACTGACATAAATCTAACAACCCTCACCTGGCAGGTGGGGAAAAAACACCTATGTATTCCCAAATGAATTGCCTGATTGAAAACGATTACATAAAGGGAACTTTCCAAAAAAACATAAAAAAACAAAACCACCTATGTATTCCCAAATGAATTGCCTAATTGAAAACCATTTCATAAAGTTAACTTTCTTGGAACTTTATTATTCACAAATGAGTTGCCTAATTGAAAACGAATACATAAAGTGAACTTTCTTGGAACTTTAGTACTCACAAATGAATTGCCTAATTGAAAACAAATACATAAAGTGAACTTTCTTGGAACTTTAGCATTCACAAATGAGTTGCCTAATTGAAAACTAATACATAAAGTGAACTTTCTTGGAACTTTAGTATTCACAAATGAATTGCCTAATTGAAAACGCATACATAAAGTGAACTTTCTTGGAACTTTAGTATTCTTAAATGAATTGCCTAATTGAAAACAAATACATAAAGTGAACTTTCTTGGAACTTTAGTATTCACAAATGAATTGCCTAATTGAAAACAAATACATAAAGTGAACTTTCTTGGAACTTTAGCATTCACAAATGAATTGCCTAATACATAAAGAGTGAACTTTCTTGGAACTTTAGTATTCACAAATGAATTGCCTAATTGAAAACGAATACATAAAGTGAACTTTCTTGGAACTTTAGTATTCACAAATGATTTGCCTAATTGAAAACGAATGCATAAAGTGAACTTTCTTGGAACTTTAGTATTCACAAATGAATTGCCTAATTGAAAACGCATACATAAAGTGAACTTTCTTGGAGCTTTAGTATTCACAAATGAATTGCCTAATTGAAAACGCATACATAAAGTGAACTTTCTTGGAACTTTATATAGCATTCACAAATGAATTGCCTAATTGAAAACGAATACATAAAGTGAACTTTCTTTCCACTTTAGTGTCCCCACACGAATTGCAAAAAAAATGACCCCTGAAATCCAAATACTTTATTTAGGGGAGTGCAAACATTCATTTTTATTTTGATGCTAAGGGTGGGAACATATTTCAGAATACTTTTTTTAGGGGATGAGTATATTGACAAATTATTGTGATGCTAAGGCTGGAAAAATATTTCAGAATACTTTATTTAGGGGTTGAGTATACTGACAAATTATTGTGATGTTAAGGGTGGGAAAATATTTCAGAATACTTTATTTAGGGGGTTGAGTATATTGACAAATTATTGTGATGTTAAGGGTGGAAAATATTTCAGAATACTTTTTTTAGGGGTTGAGTATACTGACAAATTATTGTGATGTTAAGGGTGGAAATGTGATGTTAATTGCCTAAATGAAACGAATAATTACATAAAGTGAACTTTCTTTCCACTTTAGTATTCACAAATGAATTGCCTAATTGAAAACGCATACATAATTGATTAATCAAGTGGACATCCCCTTCGCATTTTCAAATTTCCAAATAAATTGCAGTAGGTTACGTTACATCACATTACATTACAAACCATTACATACCATTCCATACCAGTACATACCCTTGCATACCATTACATACGATTAATGTAGGTTACAGATTAGTGTGGGGAGGCCCCCCCCCCTTAACAAATTTTGGATACAGAATAGTGTGGAAAAAACAAAGTACCGGGTACGCAATAGTGTGAAATCAAAAAAATGATAGATTTAAATTGATTTCAATTTACTTTCAATTGATTTCAATGTATTTTGAATTGATTTCAATTTACTTTGAATTGATTTGAATTTACTTTCAATTGATTTCAATTTACTTTCAATTGATTTCAATTTATTTTGAATTGATTTGAAGTTACTTTGAATTGATTTCCTTTTACTTTCAATTGATTTCAATTTACTTTCAATTGATTTCAATTTATTTTGAATTGATTTCAATTTACTTTCAATTGATTTGAATTTACTTTCAATTGATTTCAATTTACTTTCAATTGATTTCAATTTATTTTGAATTGATTTGAAGTTACTTTGAATTGATTTCAATTTACTTTCAATTGATTTCAATTTACTGCCAATTTACTTTCAATCGACATCCCATAGAAATCCAATAGTAGTCCCAAAGAAATATCATAGAAATACCATGGAAATCCCATAGGAATCTCACAGAAATCCCATAGAAAGATCATAGAAATAACATGGAATAGCATAGGAACTACAAAAGAAACCCCATGATAATTCCAATAATAATCCCATAGAAATATCATAGAAACATCATGGAAATACCTTGGAAATCCCACAGGAATCCAATAGAAATTCCATAGGAATCCAATAGAAATACCATATAAATCCCATAGGAATCCAATGGAAATCCCATAAGAATACCATAGAACTCCCATAGCACCCCTTCAGAAATCCCATAGAAATCCTCCAGAAATATCATAGAAACATCATGGAAACCCCATAGGAATTCCATAGAAATTCAATAGTAATACCATAGAAATACCATAAAAGAAAAAACGCTTTAGCAAAGGAAAAGGTAAAGGGAATGCTTGAAAAAAAATCACACCAGGAAGCATTTGGACACAATAGTGTACCCTCCAAACAAACCACACTATTGTGTATCAGGGTTGCTCATGGACTACCCCCTTGAAAAATTGTTTGAGTGATGTTTTTTAATTGGGTTTTAATAAGGCATCATATATTTTGGAAAACTGAGCATTTCTGAGAATTTCAAATGAAAGAAAGTAAGAAAGTAATTAATTAAAAGAAAAAACTTTAGCAAAGGAAAAGGTAAAGGAAATGATTGAAAAAGAAAACAAAAAATTATGACCTCAGGCATCATATATTTTGGAACACTTGGCATTTCTGAGAATTTCAAATGAAAGAAACTAAGAAAGTAATTAAGTAAAAGAAAAAACTTTAGCAAAGGAAAAGGTAAAGGAAATGATTGAAAGAATCAAAAAACCATGACCTCAGGAAAGCAGCTGGACACAATAGTGTACCCTCCAAACAAACCACACTATTATGTATCAGGGTTGCTCATGGACTACACCCTTGAAAAATTGTTTGGGTGATGTTTTTTTAATTGGGTTTTAATAAGGCATCATATATTTTGGAAAACTGGGCATTTCTGAGAATTCCAAATGAAAGAAACTAAGAAAGCAATTAAGTAATTAAAAGCAAAAACTTTAGCAAAGGAAAAGGTAAAGGAAACGACTGAAAAAAAACAAAAAATCATGACCTCAGGAAACAGCAGGACACAATAGTGTACCCTCCAAACAAACCACACTATTGTGTATCAGGGTTGCTCATGGACTACCCCCTTGAAAAATTGTTTGAGTGATGTTTCCAATTGGGTTTTAATAAGGCATCATATATTTTGGAAAACTGGGCATTTCTGAACAATTTCAAATGAAAGAAACTAAGAAAGTAATTAAGTAATTAAAAGAAAAAAACTTTAGCAAAGGAAAAGGTAAAGGAAATGATTGAAAGAATCAAAAAACCATGACCTCAGGAAAGCAGCTGGACACAATAGTGTACCCTCCAAACAAACCACACTATTATGTATCAGGGTTGCTCATGGACTACCCCCTTGAAA